AGGTGGCAAGTACCACTCAGTGGAGGGAGGTGGCAGGTACCACTGTGGGGGCGAGGTGGCAGGTACCACTTAAGGGGGCATGTGTCAGTTTCCACTTGGTTGGGGGTGGCAGGTGCCTCTTGGCATGGTCGGAACTGGAGCAGATCAGGACCTGGACCCAGGCTACTTTCTCTCTACTGGAGGCAGTGATGGCTGGAGTTAGTGTGAACCATTAACAGTAAAACAATAACAAACAAAAAGCAAACTAGGCATGCCGATACAGTCTTATAGCAAGAATATGCTTTCCCTATTAGTAAAGTATTCAGCCTTTGGAATTAAGGCGACTCCCTATTTTTCTTCTAGAGGAATCATTTCTTACTAATAACAAAGAATAAGGGGTAATAGCAAGGCACTGGGCTCAGTTTTCAAAAGTACTTTACTTGACCCTCTGTATCTGTCAAACAATAGAGAAGACAATTTGTCCTGTGAGGTGGACTCCTGGCCCTTCCGTTGGGACCCTGACTGATTAAGGCAAAAACCCAGGTCATTTCCCCTTCTTCACAATTTTTCCGGTTAGCTGTACTCTGGGCGAGGGCGGCAAGGTCCAGGCTCCAGCTCTTGGCTAACGCGGGCCTTGCCATCTCATCAATAACAAGCGTGCTGCTGCGCCACCGAGGCTGATTTGTTCAGTAGGTGCAAAGGTGAGGAGGTATGGCCTTCAATTGTATGTTGCCCTGGTTTTTGTCCCATTGCACATTTACATTGACCAGGAAAAGAAGACTTAGTTGGAAAAGTCTTCTTTAGTTGGGAAAATGAGTAGACAAACCTAAAGCAAACTTGCTTCCAAGTGCCTGGTATCACACTGCAGATAGCGCAAATGCATTCTAAGCAGATCTCTTGCAGTCTTTCAGCTACACTCCAGATATAAACAGGACTTTGGCTATACTGGTTGATTGTATTCCTAATTGTGCTGGGGGGGTATCTTTCAGTTCAAATTGGAAGAGAAAAATGAAGGCTTCCAACCGAAGGCCTTGGACTTCAGAAAATGTAAGTACAGCTGTGCTGAGCGACAGCTTGCTCTGGGTGTTAAGAAGCAGAGATTCAGCCACCCTAAGTCTTCAACCTTGTAAGTAGGTCTAATCTGGATTGTCAGTATACTACCCAAGAAGCCTCATCAAAAGACAAAAGAAGTGTTCTGTAGACTTTAGCTAAACTGACTAAACTTTGAAGGACAAATAAAAGTCCTTTCCCTAATAGGTCATACCCCAAATCTTCCTAAGCCAGAAGAGAAATTATAAATATTTACAAAACTCATCATAGAATTTTAAAGATCATTTATTCAACAAATATTTATTGAGAGTGTTGGGAAAGGAAACTAATATTCCCTCTACTTATCTAGGTTCTTGTCTGAGACAACCCCCTCTCCCCATAAAGGAAGACACAATTATAGGAGAAAACAAGTGTAATAAAATGTCAACCTTGAAATGACCAAAGCCATGACCTTAAATGCCATCTTCAGTTAAAAACAAAACATGTTGAGGGTGGAGTGTAAGTTCTGGGAAGTTATTATGCAAAGCACAGTTAACCTCTGATAAGAATTGCTAGAGATTTGTTCCTTTACAAATTATTTTTATGGAGAGGAAGACACCCTTACAAACCGGGAGTCCCCTCATAAATGTAAATGTGTTGCCCGAGGGTAGCTTCTACTTTGGTGTTTTGAGCTTTCCCTCAGTCTGCTATTTCTGAAAACTAACCAGCTCTAAATAACCCTTATGCCAAAGAAACATATTTTGGGGGTGTATATTCTGCTCCCCTTCAAGCACTCTGTGTGTCAGGTAACAGCTAGGGGTTCAAAGACTAGTATGATGTGTATTGGTAACAGAAAGGGATGGATAAAAGTAGATGTTCAGGAAAAATGCCGAGCGCAGAGTCATCCTTGCTGATCTCCAACTGATACTCGGATTGTAATAATTGTTCTAAGAAGTTATTGCTGGCTCTCAACAGCACTGGGACATTTGGGAAACTGGCATAGCAGTTGGTGAGAAAATGTAAATGTCACCATTGTAGAGAAGGCTACCACTTTTCTGCTTAGATAGACTGACTCCATTATGCTTTGGAAATGTGAGGACATAGATAATTTACAGGATTTAGGGCTAATTCTTCCCTGCAGGTGCAGATTAAATTAATGGGAGATGCAAGTTTGAGTTGCCCTCTGCTTTTCAGAGCACCAACATTTTTATTTCAAACAAGGTTTTTCTGAGGTCTGAGACATGAGGCTGGCAATTTTGAGCATGGATCTTTGGAGAAAGTCTTTGTGTAATTGGCTGCTTTCTGTTCCAAGAGAGGATAAAGGAACACCTTTAAAAAAGAATAAAACCCATTGTTTGCAAATATACTTTAAGTGGCTTCCATTTCATTGTTAATTTTATAACAGGCATCTTTGGTTAACGGGGGAGGAACCACAGTCCTGCCCACCCCTCAACTATGGGCAGAACTGAACAGCCAAATAGAGTTATAAAACACAGAAGGCGGATGGGCTGGCGGGGGACACACAGGAGAGACACAAAAAGAAGGGTTCGCTTGTTTCTCAGCTTTGGACCTGCCCTAGGGGCTTGGAGACATGGAAGGAGACCTCGTGGAGGTGGCACAAGGAGAGACACATGGGCGAGCGACCGTGGGGAGGCAGTCATTACATCCTAGACTTGCCTGGCCCCTTCTGCCCTTCTCCTATGGGTCTACACAGGAAGCTGTCTTAGAATTGTGGCAAGCTTTTAGGCTTTACTGGCCCGGCTTCAGGCCCACCTACTTGACTGTCATTTATCCCCTGAGGGAATGGCTAACATTGGGTGTTTTATTTGGAATGTTCTTCCTTTGCCTTTGTGCCCTCAGGTGGCCAGACCCCCTCTATGTGTGCCGGTCTGGGGGGTGGGGTCCCATAGTACCCCTCAGTTTGCCCAATAACAATTTCTCTTAACCACCTGTGAGATAGGTATATTGTCCCTATTTTACACCTGAAGAAACTGAGACTCACAGAAGGTAAGTTTGCATGTACTTCAAAGTGCAAGAGCCTGGGTACCTGACTCCTTCCCTCTTAATTTTCCCCAGAGTCCACAAACCTCCTTCCCCTTGTCCCCCACAGATTTGCCCAGTGAAAATGTGTTCATCCACATTGGCTTCGAACAGTTCATTTGGGTCCTCATTTTGGTATTTAATGGTTTTTCCACAAGTCCCATCCTCCTCCTCCAAAGGGTGCAGAATGGGCAAGCTCCCTTAGAGAGGCAGGTCAGAATGTTCTCGAATAAGGAAAGAAGGTAATGACCAATGGTAATGGTTGTGCCTGGGAACAGGGAAGCAAAAAAAAAAAAAAAAAAAGGTTGAGAACGGAGAACAAATCTAACAGTTGAGCAAAGAATCAAAGCCTGTGACTTTATTTGTAGCAAGTTTTTTTTTTTTCCTTCCTATTTTGGCCGAGCAATTTTTCTGAAGGTTGAGAGAATTGAAACTATCCAAGAATAATGTGAAACAAGTTCCCTCTGCTAAGAAGGCCCCTTTGTCTTCCTTGCTATTGCTTCTGTGCTGTGACTGAAAACCACACCTCTGGTTGAGGGTGACTGAAGGGCTAAGGGTGATGGTAAAAGGTTGCCTCTCACAGGTGGGAGGTGACCGTTGGAGCAGTCGTTTCCAGTTCTTAGTTTGCACGTTTGGAATGAAGCGTTCCTGCCTGGAAGAGTAATTGCCTTTTTCAGACAGATCTTGATTTATGCAAAAGGGATGGTCCTGAAAATCTGAAATCAAACCTAATGTAAATGAGATAAGGCGACAGAGAAAAGGTCTTTGATTTTTACATCATCCATCATTCCCTAAAACCTGTGGTTTAAAATATGAATATTTTAGAAAGCAAATAATTGGATTTCAATCACTTATCCACCTTTAATATATTTCTATTATATTTCTTGGGACCCCACACTTTGAAAATGAAAGTGACCTGGTTTTATGGGTTTCTCCTTTCATGAGAAAGAATAGTGTTTTATTTTCTAGAGCTAGCTGAGGATAGATATACATTCACCTAAGGTTTTTATGGAACAATTTACTTCACAATGCATACTAAATGATCTCTCTTTGCTCTCAACAATTATGTTACATCACATTACATTATAAACTCAGTAAGTGTTCAATTTATTTTACCAGTCATACCCAAACTCTTGAGGTGAATGTAACCACTTCCATGAGTCAAAAGACTCCTTCTGCTACCCAAATGCCAACTACTTTGCCACTTCTACAAAGAGAAGGAAGTCACCAGAGGATGAATGGTAGTGATGTTGTCAGGCACACTAACTGAAGCGGTCAGGAGACCATTATTTATTCATGTCAGACGCAGATGAATAGATGTAGCCACATTATGGATGCCATGCTCTGATTCTGCTCCCAAGAACTTCTGGGGATCACTGTCTGAGAGTCCGCTGAGGTTATTTTGTCACATGACCATATTTTCCTGGGTTCCAGCTCATTTTCTGCTCTTTATTTTCATTTCTCTTAGATCTTCTCTGCTACCTTACAGTCTTAAGTATTCAGTGCAGCCTTGGGTAAGCACTTGTAATAATAATCGCTCACAATTGGTCCACTGAACAGTGTGCTTATCCTTTCAATAATGGCTTCTGGTTTGATATGCCTTTTGCTGCAACAAATAACCTAATCAAGTTTATTGAAAGCCAAATGGCTGCCAGGGCAGGGCAGAAACAAGCTTTTGCTTCCAAGCAAGCCTGTTCCTTGGCCTAGTGTCATATTTGTTCTACATAAAAACAAAACCAAAAACAAACAACAAAGCCCCCCAAAAAACACAGTGTAATTTGTGAAGAGAAAAAGAGACTGGCAGCTTTTACCCCCAATCTGGACTTTGCCATACTCTGTGACCAGATTTGGGAACAAGTCCTTAAAAAGGGTAGCTTGCCAATGAAAGAAGAAAAGAAAGAGGGGAAGAGAAAGAAAGAAGAAGCAGCTCAGAGACCCCTTGACCCTGCCCTGTAAGCCACGGGAGGGAAATTCCAAAAGGCTTTTCAATCCTTTCTCTTTCTGTCCTTTGATATGTGACAGGCAATTCTCCTTACTCCCCACCCCCCTTCATTTTTCTTCTCTCCTTTTGTGGCCCTTTCAAAGATACCTAAGCTCTGAAAATAGTGGGTTGTTTTCTTTCACTTTGTGGAACGAAACCTAGCAGAAGGATAAAGAGGAATTTTAGAACAGGCACTGACCTGGGAGATAAGGTCTCAGCTTTATCACTATAGACTGTGTGGCCTTGGTCACAACACTTAACTTCTCTGAGCCTCACTTATAAAATAAGTAGACTCTTCCCAGTCTGTGATAAGCTTGGGTATCAAAGGAAACTCTGCACAGGTTCGGGAAAGAAAGGTGATGCTAAATTGAAGGGGAAACGTTGGTACTATTGTTTTTTGCCGGGAACTTAATGGAGGGTTGAAAATAGAATTAACATTTCAAGGAACAAAATTATTAATGAAAAGAGTTTCTTTTTTCCCCCCTAGTTTAGTCTTTATATGCAGCTTTCTCTCACATTTGCTATTATTGCCACCTCCAGGTGGCCTCACTGACTAACTCTCCCTCCCACACACACACCTCTTTTCTGGTCAATGTCACAAACTGCTATCCAGAATTAGGTTGTAGTAATCATCTTGCTCTCTCATTGTTACCTGACTCTAAGCCTTGTTACCTTTTACAGAATTGGCTGATAAAAATTTGTCTGTTAAGATGTGTGACTGGCAAGTACCATCCTCATCTCTTCTTGTTCCTCTGTCCCTTTACTTTATGATTGCTGTAGTAATTTCCAAACACTTGCTTTCATATTTCTACGGAGGAAAGAAAGTAAGAATAGGATCATCTTCCCCTTTTAGAATAGATCAGGGGCCTCCCTGGTGGTTCAAGGGGTTAAGGCTCAGCACTATGAAGCTGTCTGAAGTCACTGCAGCACTAGTTAGATCCCTGGTCAGGGAGGTGACCCACAGGGTGCAGCAGACCTCTCCAGTCTCGCCCGCTGCTCCCCTCAGCAGTTGATTTCAGTAGATCTGAAATACAGATCTTCTCCCCACTCTGTCTTTGGTGAATCCTCTAATCCCTCCACACCTCTGGCCTTCACCCCGGCTCTTGCATGCGTAGATACATCTTATTATATAAATCAATAAAGCATCTCTAGGTGCTTCTGGAGATGATGCTCCTATGGCAAATATTTGCCATGGATGTCAAGTCTCAGCTCATTTGACTCTAGTCTCATTGACTAGCCTTTAAAAAAGCTTGGCCTATGGCTTTTTAAAAAAAGATTTATTTCTTTATGCATACAAGAACTGGAGTGTAGGCCAGAGGTGTGGTGGTGAGAGGATTCCCCAGAGACAGAGTGGGGAGCAGAACAGGCAGATTGACGAGGTACACTGCTGAGGGGAGCAGCAGACAGGTCAGGAAAGGTCTGCTGTGCCCTGTGGGTCACTGCCTGGCCAGGATGAACTCCTGCAGCAATGGCTGGCAGTAGCTTGATAGTGGTGTGTCTTTAACCCCTTCACCACCACAGAGGACCTAGCTTATGGCTTTTGAACCAATCCTTGCATACCTTCATTGAGTATATGTCCTCCCTTTGCCTCAATGCCCTGTTGTTGCCACCAGGGATATCCTCTTGGGAACAGAGCCCCTCCCTCCTTCCCTCCCTCTTTGAGTGTGTGTGTCTGGGGGGGGGATGCTGTCAGGCATGTTCAGTACTAGTAGGTATCAAAACTTTTTTATCCTTGTCAGTAGCAATGAAAATCTACTAAAACTTAAACTATAGAAAATGCTGAAGAGGGAAAAAACCCACAAGTGGTTTTCCTGGGTTCTCGGGGCCGTAGATTATGAGAAAGGGTCCTTTGTTGACTTTTTTTTTTCTGTATTTTCCAATACTCTGCAAGTAACACACACTGCTGTCATCATCTGTGTACTGTGAAACAGTCAGTACAAGTAAACACTGATGTAGCATTTACAGTTTTTAATAACATTACAAATCATTAAAAACAACAAACACAATTGCCATTTTTCATTACCAAGATAAAATGATATTTGTATGCATAGGGAAGTTAGGCCCAGCTATATATTTTGATTTTTCTCATTTGATGCTGCAAATACATTAGAGCACATTAAGGCATAAAATGAACCAAGTCAGCCCTCGTCCTTCTTGCCAACCCTTCAGATGTAGCTGCAGTTGCCTGCTTGGGGGCTTCAGAAGCGAGTGGCCTGTGCTGCTTGTGTCCTCCCTTGTCTCTTTTCTCAGAAGCAGGGAATGAGCAAACTATGTTGTCCTTTGGAACGTGGATGTTAAGGACTCCTTTCAAATAAGGAAGACTCCTTTTGAACCCAACTATCCTCTAATGTTTCTGAATGTGATTGAGTATGCTAATTTTTTAAAGATTTATTTGTGCACACAAAACGGGGCTACATGCCAGGGGTGGTGAGAGGCTTCACCTGAGACAGAGTGGGGAGCAGAACAGGCAGATCAACGAAGTACACTGCTGAGGGGAGCAGTGGGCGGGTCAGGAGAGGTCCCCAGCGCCATGTGGTCACCTCCGGGGCAGGTGGGAATCGAACTCATGCGGAAGTGCCTTTCCATTCTTAACCCGCTCTGCCACTAGGAGGGCCCGAGTATGCTAAGTTTTTAAACTACACTTAGAGTAAATATCTTGAGGAAAAACCTATTTGGTGGCACTAATTTCAAGTCACATTTGGTTCTCATCATGAAATTGCTGTCAAAAGGGAGAGAATCCCGTACACTTGGCAGTCTTGCCTAAAAGCAAAACCCAAGACTGGAATAGCAGGAATTTATAGGTCAAGAGAGAAGGGCATTTGGCAGAATTAGTCATCAGGAAGTCTGCATGTTATACGTTACCAGAAAGCAGCTCATGTTGCATTAAACCCTAATGTTTTAGTCACTTTCAAGAATGAATAAACAGTAGTCCCAGCCAAAAGAACTAGGAAAAAATCAGAACCATTGGAAACATAAGGTTTAACCTCATATTAATACGAACCTTTTCACGTGAAATCACTTTCACTGTTAGGAAGCAGTCTGTTCACATATGTATGGTTTCTGATAGGAGTATTTTCCCTTTCTGCTATAAATAGCCCAACAGGTCAACTTATTGGTTGTATTTTATAAGATCAGATAATTGTAAAATTGAAGGATCTGTAGAGTTAGCTAATTTGGTTCCTCAGTTTATAGATAAGGGCGGTAAGATGCAAGTCTATTGGTGAGTCACAGGGAGGTCAGGTCTCAGGAATTTAGGTCTCTTGACCCAGAAGCCAGGATTCTTAGTGCTTTCCACTCACTGCATGGCAGTGCAAAATAGCGGGCCTTGATTTTAAATTTTGTTTTTCAGGGATTAGAAGAGGTGCTTGATGAAATGGATGCTAAAAGAAAACACTGGAAAGAAAAATTGTTTGCTCCCTGTTTTACTGCACAGGATATTCTAGGTGAGCCTTCTCAGCTTGAACCATCTGAACAAATTGCTTCATGTAAGGGCAAGAAAACGGGTGGAATTCATCATTTGTCTAGTAAAAAGTTTCAAGAAGAAAATAAATCTAAGCGAAAGGAATTCACTCCTCAACAAAATGAAAAAGAACCGAATTTAAGAGAGAGAAAGGTCCGCTTGTCAAAGAATTCAGCAAACAAACGTGTTGCTGCCCATAAATCACCAAGTTACGATGCTTCACTTGAAGAAAGGAGTAACATCAAGGAAGACTGTGCCACCTGGATTAGAAAGGAATTATCAACTCCACCACACCAAGAATCGAGGAAGAAAATCACCAAAGGGATGTCTACAAAATGTCGCCTGAATATTTTGAATGAAGAGCTGGAAGAACTTAACATGAAATGCAGAAAAATAGAAGAAGAATTTGAAATAGCTGAAAAAGAACTTATGACCTCTAAAAGAGATGTCTCCCCTACCACCCTAAATTTTGAAGAGACAGAGGTGAGAACATTGACGAGAGACTGGGAACTTCATACTTTGAGAAACGACCTATCCGAAGAAACAACAAATGTGCAGAGCCTAACCGAAGAACTGCAGCGAGCCAAAGAAATGATCCACAAACTGAGCCTGGAAAACAGCGATCTAAAAGAAATGGTTAGGAAGCTGAAACGTGAAACTGAAGTTGGAAGAGCACTGATCAAAGAAGAACTGAAATTGCAATACGAATTGGAAGTGGACAAAATCCGTGGAGAGGTCGATGCCATCAAGAATGACCTGAGATCAGAGAAGACCCTGCAAGCAAGAAATAACAGAGCCTTGGAGTTACTTCGCAACCACTTTGTGAGCACATCGTCAGGGGCTCGTGACCGCTACCAACTGGATTTTTTTTAAAACATTAAAAAAACCAAGCCTTTCATTAGGCAGGTCATTGAGTCAAATCAGTGTTCTTGTGCTTCCTTTGTGCGTTGCTTAAAATGTGTGTCATGAGATGTCATTTTCATTTGGGGTGAATCAGAATATCTATGTGATCTATAGATATTAACTTCAAAGCTTCTGCTCTCTTTACAGAGCTGGGTACAGGCCAGAGGAGTAGGGACGATGAGAGGATTCACCAGAGACAGAGTGGGGAGCAGAACAGGCAGATCGATGAAGTACACTGCTGAGGGGAGCAGCGGGCGGGTCAGGAGAGGTCTGCTGCGCCCTATAGGTCACCTCCCAGTGGCTGCAGACAGCTTCATAGTGCTGCGCTTTAACCCATTGTGCCACCAAGGAGGGCCTGCTTTCTTTTTCTAATGCAGTTACTTCGAGAGCTTAGAGGGAAACAAGGCTTCTGAAATCTCTTTATATACATACACACACTCTCACACACACACATAATATACATTTACTCAGAGACATGCCGTGGTTCATCACATCATTTATGAATACAAATCAGCCTTTTCTTGATCTTGTGAACAGTCCGAGCAGTATATCCTTTATTCTTCCGTCTCTGTCCATTGCTGTTAACAATAAAAAGCTTGTTTATGCGCATAAGCAGAACGTGTCTATGGGTCTTAATAGCTGTTTAGACTTAGTGGGATACTAAAAATGTATCTGCTTTCTTTGGGATCTAACCTTAATTAGGCACAATATAAACATCCCCTGAAAAAATGCAGTTTTCCTCACCCTGCTGCTTTCCCCATGCCTTCTTCCTTGACCTGGCCGTGGTTCCCATGGACGTGAAGACGACTGGAGACACATATTTGTGGCCTTTACTAGGCCTGGTTTTGCCAAAAAGGCTTTTGTATTTTCCTGTGTTGACCAGCAAGGGGCGTTGTTGACACACTTCTCCCCAAAACGGGGAAAATAGAAGCTTCCTTGCCCAGGTTAAGCCACTGACTGGCCAGGACTGGGTGAAGGGAGCTGGATGTCTTCTCCCTGAGCTGTTAGTGAGCTGCCTAGATTTGTGCAGGAATCCAGTCCTGTCCAGGGCACAGGCAATGGCTATTTTATACTTTGAAAGAATAAAAAGATATAATCCTTTGGTGGAAAAGATAAGCCGGCTGATTTTCTGCATTTGGATCAGTCATCACATTTCCAATGGGTGTTCTATTTGTGTGGTGTTTTTTGTGTGTGATATTTTTAAGTTCAATGGGCTAAATGTAATAATGTGCTCTGAGGATGGACTACCAGCCTAACAGCTTAGGTATCTTCTGTGATGGGAAATCCCCAGGTGGGGAGTGAAGACACTCGGCTTGGAATATCAGCCTTGCCATTAACTAGTCACTTCACTTAGGTCTGAAAGGCCTCATCTAATAAAACAAGGGAGTAGCTCTACCATCAGGATTCTGTTCAATTCTAATATTCTGTGGTTTCCTCTCGGTGATTTCCATCATAAAGGTGAGTTCTATCATAAATGTAGCTACCTGTGACAAAGTAAAACTCCTGTGGCATTGGATGCATGCAGTTCTAATACTTGGAGAACTATTTTACAGGAAATATACAAAGGCTTTTTTTTTTATGGTTTGAGTATCTCCAAGTACTGTCAATAACTCAGGAGAGGCGCTAGATGAGATTATTTCTTTCTCTTGTTACCTTTCTACTGATTAAGGTCTGGGGAGGCACTGAAAGTTGGCCTGGGACCAAGCACGGCTGGGCTTGTCTGGGGAGATCAGACTAAACTGGGAGATAGAAATCTTTCGAGCTTCTGACTTAGTCCTGATCACTTAGCCCAGGCACTGGCAGCCTGTTCACAGGGTCAAGGCTTGTAGCGGTCACTGGCTTCCCACCAGTACCAGTCACAAAAGCAAAGAAGGTACTCTTTGCCCTATTTGACTCCCTTCCTCTCACCCCCTTAAAAAATTATCCCATCGGTAACTCTCCCCCCTGCCTGCCCCTGACTATGCAGGTGTTTGTATTTTTCCTTTCTCACTTTCCTAATAAACATGTCCTTTTAAAATGTCAAGAGCAAAACCCAAAAAATTATCCTATAGAAACTCCCAAACCCGGCTGCCAGTGTGCAGAGCTTGTTTCCATTTTAAAAACATTTCACAAAATGTTACCAATGAAGCTATTAGGCTCAGTCCTCTTAGAATGTTTTAGGAGAATTTCTACCAGCCAGTTGCACATCTAAGGTCTCCAGTGACTTGTTGGAGTCCAGTTGACTCCAGTGTTTAGGTTCTGTGTGTCTTGGGGGCGGGGGTAGGGAGGACCAGAAGAGAAAGCTCTCCTCTTAGCCCCACGCTGGCAGGGGGGAGGAGCTGTGTTTCTAGGCTGTACCTGGAGCACAGGGTTCTGCTGAGACAGCCTGGGAAGCTGAGCCAGCAAGGGCTGCCTTCCACCTCCTATGTACTGAGTGGACGATGAGGTTTTCAACTGTACTCCATCAGGCCACTCATCCTCTTTACTAATCTGTTGGGTAAAATACTTGAAATCAGCAAATGTAAGTGCATACCATTCCCCACCAACCCCCAATTCCTTATTTATTAAGAAGAATGGGTTGTCACCAGCTCTAGGAATATCTGTTCCACTTTGAGTTTATAATCTATTTCTAGGAACATTTGCTGAGCAGTTATCATAGTTCATTATTTCTAAGACATCTTTTTTATATTTTGTTATACCTGAATTTTGGACACATCTTCAACTTATGGCATGTCATCGTATAGATGTCACATATTTCAAATCTTTCTTGGTACTTCTTAAAATAATGGTGTGTCTAGTAATCAATAGGGCTTTAGATATGATGACATACGGCATTGCTAGGATGGGGATTTGGAGATAAAAGGATTTTTGAAGGAGGCAGGTGCCATACTTCTAGCACCTTACTTGTACAACTAACTAAAACAACATGGCAGGTGTTATAATTAGCAGCACTAATATCAAGTTCAATGGGAGAACAGAAGGGGATCATTTTATCCTGGGGACTGGGAAGGCTTTTATTCCGAAGGAGAAGACATCTGAGCTGGCCTTGAAGGATGAAAAGGATATTTTCAGGCAAAGCATGGAGATAAACGTAGGTGCCTTGCTGGAATGTGAACGTGGAAGGCCTATTTGACTTCAAAGAAGACACTTACTAACAATGAATTAGAACACTGGGATATTACACATAAGTGGTTTTTTTTTTTTTAAGATTTATTTATGCACACAGAACTGGGGTGCAGGCCAGAGGTGCAGGGGCAGTGAGAGGATTCACCTGAGACAGAGTAGGGAGGAGAACAGCTGATTGACAAAGTACACTACTAAGAGGAGCAGCGGGCGGGTCAGGAGAGGTCTGCTGCACCATGTGGGTCACCTCTGGGGTAGGGATGGAACTCATGCTGAAGTGGCTTTAGCTTCTTAGTGCTGTGCTTTAACCCTCTGCGCCACCAGGGAGGGCCCTACACATAAGTGGTTTTTACAATCCCATTTGAGTTTCTAATCTTAAAACTATTGTGATTTCAACTTTTTTGCTTCTCTCCAGATATGAGAGTGAAGTTCTTATGACATAAAGACCAGGTGTCAGGTTACAAACCACAGGGGGAAAAAATTGCTGGTGTCACTGTACCTTTGTCTGTCTTCATTTTTGTTTTGGAAACAAAACACCTAAATGGTTTTGGTCATAAGATCCAGCCAAGTTCAACGTGAGTGACCTGGTTTCAAAGAAATGTATGAAAGAGAAACCTCACATTTATAGAACATAAACATCAAGTGCAAAAACTTTGGTTATCTACTTACTAGCCAACCTTGCAAAGCTAGCAAAATTCCCTGGAGCTCAGTTTCCTCATTCTGTAAGATGGGGTTAATCAATAGAGCTGTTAGATAAGATCACATATGGTCAATAAATGCCACTGTTGTTACATAACTGACAAGAAGAGAATGCCCAAAGCCATCTAACTCCTCCCAGCTTTTACTCTCACCAAGCTCTTTACATTTACTGCCGCTTAAATTGTGTACTTTGGAGAGGATGCGATAAACTCATTCATAATGTGTGTCAATGATATATCAGTGATATGTCTGAGACAGTCCAACAAGTTGCAGAGAAGCTATCTTGACAGCATTAGTATGTGTAGTGTTAAGCCAAAGCAATGAATCAGTCACGATGGACTTTCTGACTTCAGAACAGACCCTGCAAAGGGAATTTGCATGTGTCCCAGCCTACCCAGTCCCCCTAGTCAGGTTGGTAAAGGTTGGTCCCAACACTGGCAGGCAGAATACCCGGAGAGAGAACGTCCTGCTCTAGCGCTCCAGTGGGAAAAAGCGCATTTAGGAACAGGGCATGGAGACAAGAGAGGCTATTCTAGTGCTTTCCATTTCCCCTTGGCACAGCACACCGTGCAGCTGGGGACCCACTGCTACAGCTGCTCGGATAAGAATAAGCCATTGTCTTGTTCTTTGTACTCATAAGACACTGAAGCTGTATTTCCCCAAGTATTGAAGGTGTCTCCTCCTTCCCACACTGAGTATCAAGATGCTGTCTCTCCTGTCTAGTGGCCAGAGAAACTTACTGTTGAGTTTCTCCCCACCCCTCTCTCTCACCTTTGAGCACACCAGGTCTTTTGATGAATGCTACCTTTCCGTGGCTTGGGTTGCCATTTCCCAGGAGACCGGTTTTCTACCTGGCTCTCTGAGTGCCTACAGTTTTCAGCCCAGGCCTGTGTCCAGATATTGCCAGGAGACATACCTGAGAGGGCCTCCTTATGTCACTCATCTCCCAGCCAGCATTTGGATTGTTGGTTCGAGCCTAGTAACAAAGCTAGTATGTACCACATACTTCCTCGGAAGTTCTCTTGTGTAATTTGCACAAAACCCCTGCAATCATCAGATGGGAAATGGAGGCTTGGAGATACAAAGTGACTTATTTAAAATCACAAAGTGGATGGTGAATCTGGGATTCAAGCCTCGTCTGTCCTGCTCCACCTATGATGTGTGTTTCATTACGTTAGGCCACCTTTTGAGATAAACTTAATGAACTGAAAGTTCAGTTACAGTAGAGGTTATTTACAATTGTCAAAGAAACTGGTTTACTACTGCGATCTGGACTCCTCTTGCGTCATCCATGTCATAAATGACTGAGAAGAGTAGTGAAGATGTGTCCTGCTATTGGGAAGGCCACTCAGTGTTCACGTC